GACTAAAATATGATTTGAAAGATTTCTCAAAGCCCTGGTGATGTAAGCCACAGCAGGATTAGGTAGTCCTGTAAATTCCAACCTAAGTAAATAGAAAGCTGGTGTAAACAATGAGGAAGCTCCCCTCTGTCCTCAGGCTGTGAAGTGGGGTGCAAGTCTGCAGTGGGGTGGGTGGGATGCAGTGCGGGAGTTCCCTCTCCTATTCCTATTCAAAGCATCAGTCAAGAGAATGGTGACAGTGAGTGCCACTGGGGAAATGCGGGTTCTGAGGGTTTTGTTGTTTGGTTGGTTTTTCTGAGACAGGGTTTCTCTGTATTACCCTGGCTGTCCTGGAACTCACTCTGTAGACCAGGCTGGCCTCAAACTCACAGAGATACACCTGCCTCTGCCTCCTGAGTGCTGGGATTAAAGGCATGCGCCATAAGAGCCTGCTGACTTCATAGTTTTTATGTGACCATATGTCTTTCAGATTCCCAGGGGTGTGTGTGTGCGTGTGTGTGTGTGTGTGTGTGTGTGTGTGTGTGTGTGTGCGCGCATGCATGCACATGTGCATATGCATGAGTGTACACATGCACACTTGCTTTTAAAGCAGAAGGTGCACATGGGAAAGAACACAGGAAAGAGTGAGTGGCATGTCGGTAGAGTCCCTGTGTGTGCATGAAGTGTGCAGGACCTGCAGAAGCCTGGCTCACAGGGTTGGGGTATAGAAGAGATTGGGGTACACTCTCAGGCTGCTCTGGTACAGGTGGGGAGCATTTTACCTTGATGGAAGCTGCTGGGTTCTGAGGCAGGCAGGAGAAAGAGAAGTCTAATTGGAAAACAAAAAGAGGTATTCTGGAAAGGATGGAAGACCGGAGTGGCGTAGAGGATAGCTACAAGTAGATTCTGCTGAGATTTCCTGGTTAGAAGGAATCTGGAAAGTTCACAGTTCATGCTACTACTCTGCAGATAGCATAGAGGAAACAAAAAGGATTTAATCATGAAACATTAAAAATTCAAGTGAGTTGACCTTTTAGCCAGTCTTTGTAGTATTAAAGGACTAAATAAGTAGGTTCTTCGTAATTAGACTCCTACAGAGAACTTAATTTGTATGTAGGTATGTAAGTGTTTAGTAATTCAAAACACATCCTGTTTTGTCCACGACTGAGCTGTGTCTGAGGATAATGCCTGTGTATGTGGTGACACCTTCAGCCTCATTTTATCACCTGCCAACCAGGGATGCTTAGAGCCTGTTCACTTAGGGGTTACCAAGTGACTTTTGGTAGCGTACTGGGGAAGGGCAGGGGGCAGTAGGGTGACTTCTGTCCTTATGTAGCCATTGTCCAACATTGTAGGAACCTGGTAGGACTATTGATTATGGCACTATCCTCACAGGGCACAGGATAGTGTTGCACTTTATCTTCTTGAGACAGAAAACACGAGAGAGAGAGAGAGAGAGAGAGAGAGAGAGAGAGAGAGAGAGAGAGAGAGAGAGAGAGAGAGAAGTTAGATGGTGTGACAGATTGCCAATTCCTCACCCACAGGGTGAGCCAGATACGATTTGAACTGTGTCACAGCCTCTGAACTCACTGGCCTTTGAGCCAAATTCATTTTGGCTCTTCCTGCATTTTCCTCTTTGGGCATTCTCATGTAGACTCTGCTCCCCCTACCTTTTACTAGTGTATATCAACTGCACAAAATAGGGGGGCTCCTTAAGCCATTTCCAGACAGGAATAGAAGAGACTTGGCTTGTATCGACCCCTCTGCTTACCCACACTCGTCTCTGGTAGTGCCCCTTTGCTTTCATGTCTGTTTAGATTATTTTAAATTTAAGAACTTTTTCAATTTAGGGTCTTGCTTTGTTGATGACCCTCAGTGCTCTGGGCTCAAGCCAGAGCCTCAACCTCCTGGGTACCTGAGACCAGAGGTATACTATTGCACTTAGCTGACCCCGCTTCTACTAGAAAAGAATGCAGCAGTTGATACCTAGATAGCCTATACGTTCTTGCTTACACACATATATATGTATATGTATACATATATACACACATATATATGTATATGTATACATATATACACACATATATGTACTGATATATACACACATATATGTACACACATATATGTATATATAGATTTAATACAAACAAAAATCCTTCCAGTTGATTGTTGAATGTAAGGAACATACATTTAAACTTTGACAGACGTTAGTCTCCCCGAATATCCCTGAAATAGCTTCGGTTTTTGAATACTACGATGTATTGCTTTGTGCCGAGCGTTTTGAATGTGGTCCCCATCAACCCTTCCTGGACAGAGCTAGGAAGACATTGTTGCCTGGTCTGTACGTAGGAGTCCTCAGGCTTGGCACCAAGAACATACCACAAGTCCTGGCCAGGTCAGGGTCCCAGCTTATCCTCCTGCAAACCGCTTTGAACACAGGCACAATTCTCCTCATAGTTATGAACTTAAAAGGGAGAACATGATTTAGCTTTGTTTTGAAGTGCCTGTCTTACATAGGATTCTGTGTACTGACATGTTTATTGGCAATTTGCATAGTTTTGAAATTGTCTTTTATAGTCTCCGTCTCATTTTTACTGAATTGTTCACTTATTTCTTTTACTGGTTCCTTCAATCTCCTCTCCCTTCCTCCCTCCTCCCTCCCCCTTTTCTTCATTCTTTAGGGTCTAGGGTGTTCTAGCCAAGTGTTTTCCCACCCACCCCTCTCTGTCTCTACTCTTCTTTTTCACTTTTTACTTTGAGACAGGACCTCACTAAGTTGTCCAGATTAATCTGAATTTACCCAGTACCCTAGGCTGGCCTTGAACTTGTGACCCTCCTGGCTTAGCCTCCCATCTAGCTAGATTTCAGGCCTGTGCCACTATGACAGGCTGATTTCTACATGTCCTGAGTGGCAACCCTCTGCCGTGTATTGCAAACCCCTTTTCTCTCTGGTTTGTTTCTATCAACTTTTTGCTTTTGTGTGTTTTGCCAAGCAGAACTTTGTAGTTCTAATTGTGAATCTGTTTATCTTTTAAGGAGCTACCCTTCCTCCATCTTAGGAGTATAATATCTTTCTGTGCTATTCTTGTTTTTCTGCAATTCCTCCATAACGCATATCTGCAATCGACCTGATTGATGTTTGCGAACTCGACACAAACCTAGACCCATCAGGGAAGAGGGGATCTTAAATGGGAAGATGCCTCCATAGGCAAGTTTGTAGAGCATTTTCTTGATTAATGATGGATGGGGAGGGCCCAGCTGCTGTGGCTTGTGCCACTCCTGGACAGGTGGTCCTAGACAGTATAGGAAAGCGGGCTGAGCAAGCCACAAGGAACAAGCCAGTAGGCAGCATCCCTCCATGGCCTCTGCTTCAGCTCCTGCCACCAGATTCCTGCCCTGTTTGAGACCGTGCCCTGACTCCCCTTAGTGATGGAGAGGTAGAAGCTGAGTAAACCATTTTCTTCCCAAGTTGCTCCTGGTCATGGTGTTTTATCACGGTAGACAGCACCCTAACTGAGACAGGTTATTTTAGAAACTGAGCGCAAAGTTACAGCCAGGCAGCAAGTTCTGGTGTTGTGCTGCACAGAGGGTGATTGAAGTTAATGATATTGTCTCATATTAACTAAGTAGCTATAAGACAGGGTTTTGAATGGTCTCTCCATGAAGAAATGATAACTGTTTGAGATGGTGGGTAGTCTATTCATACCATGTCAAGCAGTTCGCAACAAATAAATAAATATCCTGAGGCATTGTTCTACACTCCACAAAGTTGCTTATAGTGATCAGCTGTCACTCTTCCGTTTCTTCTAGATATATAAATTCTTGTTCATTTCTTCTCTCATAGTTCCTTAAATTTTCTTTATCCTGGTGATTTATTTAAAAAGCATCATGAGGAAGTAAGCTTTGCTGTATTCATCCCAAGCCTCTGCGCATGTTGGGGAAAGCCTAGTATAATGATGTGGAAGACAGACATAACTCGCCATCTTTAGCTGTTACCTAGTTTTTGAGGTCTTCAGATTAGGAGCCATTATTTTTAGATATCAGATTAGACAATTTTGAGCCCACCCCCTGGTTACTTTCCCCTAATCAAGATTAACAAAGGTGGTTCTGTGCAGTCTGTGTTTGGGCAGCTCCGTCAGTCGGTTTCACCAGCCAGCACTTACAACTCATGCCTGGATCCGAGGGGCTAGACATCTGTATGAGGAGTAGAAGACCATGCATAGGACCTTTGGGAAGCTCCTGCCTGTGCTGGGGGATTAGCCCACAGTAGCCCATGTCCAATAGGCAATAGTATGCAGTATAGGTCTAACCTTAAAACGTAAGAGTTCCGACAAGCCTGCATCCTGATTCCCAGCTACTTGGGAAGCTGAGACAGGAGAATCAAAGTCTGCCTGCGCTACAGAACGTGACCCTGTCTCTAATTAAAACGTAAAGGAGCACTGAGTAGGCAGTCTAGTGGCAGCGTGCTTGCCAAGCATGCCTGAGGCCCTGGATCCAACCCCAGTGTCACAAAGATGAAGGAACAAACTATTCTAAGGTCATTAGGTAAGCGCATTTTCTAAGACGTTTTCTATCTTGAAGAAAGAAAAAATAATTTAGAGGGTGCTTAAGGAGTCTGGCTCGCTCATATATTTAGTCTGATTCATTACAGTTTTCTTTTTTTGTCTATGATACTGTCTCTCTGTGTGCTGTATTGAGAGTTTGTGCCTGTGTGCATAGGTACACACATATGTGTGCATGTGGAGGCCAGAGCTCAACATAGGGCGTCTTCCTCTGTCACCACCTTAAATTTGGAGATTGTCTGTCATTGGACATGGTGCTCACAGATTGTCTAAACTAGTTAGCTAAGGAGCCCCAGAGTTCCCCCGTCTCTGTCCGTGCTCCCCCAGACCTATGTCAGCATGCCCATTTTTGTTCATTTGTTTAAAGTGGGTACAGGGGATTTGAACTCAGTCCTGATTCTTGTGCAGCAAGTACTTTACAAGTCGTATCCTCAGCCCGTTTTCCTTTCTAACACACAGCTACCCTCCAGAGAGACCGCATCTTCAAGCATTTTACCAGGAAGCGCCAAAGGGCTATGCGAAGGCGAGTCCATCAGGTCAACGGACATAAGTTTATGGCCACATACCTGAGGCAGCCCACCTACTGTTCCCACTGCCGGGAATTCATCTGGTAAGACACCCCACTTACACGTAACCCACTCCCCTCCGGCCTCTGGCTGTGAGAGGTTACCCTGGCTTATGTCTGGTTTCAGGAGAAAATGTATAGATAAGGAGGAATAGTCTTTGGATCTGATTTTTGTCTCCTCTGTTCGTGTGTTGACTCTCTTAATCCCACCGATAAAACAACAACAAAACTAAATAACGTACAGATCCAAATGTTAGGTATCATTTCTTACACTGGTAACTTCATTGAAGGTACTGATGAGTCCAAAGCATGAGCCAGAGAGAGAGAGAGAGAGAGAGAGAGAGAGAGAGAGAGAGAGAGAGAGAGAGAGAGACCAATCAATTGATAAATTAGAAAACCTGGCTGAAGAGAAAGGACAATTAAGAGTATTGCTTGGAAGAAGGTGTGGAGAATGTGATAAGTTATGGGAAGTAATTGTTGGGAGAAAAATCTAGTTGTCAGTAGTGTCCAGACACATGGCATATAGTGTGCACGTGGTTTATGGCCTCTAGTGGTCCTATACCACAATCTAACCTCCAGCAAGTAGGTACTAACGTAATTAAAGGTTGAGAAATTCTGAAGACTGGGGACAATGTCTTACAGGATGTAAATGGAGCAAGCAGTAGCAAGTCTGTAGCAGAAAATAAATGTAAGCAATAGTTACTGTCGATGAGAGTCGAGGTCAAGCACACTTACGGCATTTGGAAATAGAATTGCCCCCCTCCCCCACACCAACACAGACACAGACACAGACACAGACACACACACACACACACACACACACACACACACACACACACACACTCCCATAGAACTTATCAGAAAAAGACTATCAAGCTAGGAGCAGACAGGGGATGGTGGTAACACTTCTGCCCCCCTGTGGACTCCAGAGGGAGATGTAGGGACAAGATGAGGGAGAGTGCTGGGGCCTGGTAGCTGCAGTGTGCTGTGGTGTGTGTGTGTGTGTGTGTGTGTGTGTGTGTGTGTGTGTGTGTGTGTGTGTGTGCCTGTGAGTCTCTGTGTGTGTCTGTGTCTCTGTCTGTCTATCTGTCTGCCTGCCTGTCTGACTGACTGACGTCTACATGTGAGTACTGCCACATTGTGCGTGTGAGAAGCAGTGAGGTAGTAGAGGAGCTCCTGGCTGAGTTCAGCCTCCTACACACGGGGTTGGTTTTCACTGAGGATTTAGGAGACAGCTGATGGTAGGTGGAACGGGAACCTTCATCACCTAACTTTCACATTACCGGGAGCATCCAGTCTGTCAGCTGATGTCCTTTGTGCCTACTGGTAATAAACAAGAGCTCAGAACAGCACACTGTCCTATGCCTCTTCCCTGAAGTGATGCTTTTCATAAAGGACCAGAGAAAGCAATTCACCTTAAGAACTATGATTACAGACGTTATTACTGAACTATTTGACTGACAGTAGTTTTCTCTCTCTCTCTCTCTCTCTCTCTCTCTCTCTCTCTCTCTCTCTCTCTCTCTCTCTTTTGTCTTGAACAGGGGAGTATTTGGGAAACAGGGTTATCAATGCCAAGGTAAGAAAACATGTTTACGACCATGTTTAATCGCGTCCGTCCCTTTGTGAAAATACGGTAATACCAATAGAAAACAGGCCAGGCTGCACCCCATCAATACTGTGGTAATTCTCCACAAGTCGCATGGCACCCAGGTGGCAACTCTAGTCCTTACCAGACCCTGGATGTTTTGACAATAGAGAGGAAACATGTTCATTTCTAAAGCAAGGACTCCCAAAAGAGCTTTGCTGCTGAAAGCTTGCAGTAACATGACAAGACTGAGAAGTAGTACCGATGTGCAAGCGTGCCCTTGAGTACTGAAGATCAGTTTTTGGTTTTCATGTTGCGCTGTTGGCAGGGTGAGACGCTGAATGCTGATTGATGTGTATATGTCACCGGCATAGGGATTCGGTGCTGTTACCCAAATTAGCTTTATTTTTCAGCTTTCTGAATTCAGAACAAAACAAAACAAGAACAAACAAACAAACCAAAATGAGGGGCTGGAGTGGTGGATCAGAGGTTAAGAACACTTATTGCTCTTGCCGAGGACCCCAGGGTTCAGGTCCCAGCACCCACAGGGCTGCTCACACTGCAGCTCCAGTTTGGAGATCTGATGCCCCCTTCTGGCCTCCATGAGTACTGCTTGCATGTGCTGCACAGATACACTCACAGGCCAAACAAATACCCATAAACATTAAATAAAAATTAAGTAAGAACTTACATAAGATATTAGCATGTACCAGGCCATAGTCTTGATCCTAACACAATCGATCAATCAATCAATCAATCAATCAATCAATCAATCAATCAATGTGAGGAAATCTTTACAGTTAAATACCTCTCATTTTCACAGTTCTAAGGTAAAATCACTGTATTAGTATTCTTGCAGACTTAGGAAGAAGTAAAAAGGAAGTGTAAAAGAAGCTTCCTCCTAGGTGGGTCTATGTGGGCGGGGTCTGCTGGCCTTTCATGGGACCTCCCCTACTGTTGCCCTGAGTGACATCTGGACATCAGTGCTGGGCATTTTGACTTCCTCTCATCAGGTGACTGGTAACATAGTGCCACATATTCCACAGTGGCTGTCCACATGTAAATAAGAAAATCCTCTCTTTTAGAGGAGGCGAGATAATGTGCTTTTTTTTTTTTTTTTTTTTTTTTTTTTTTTACTTAGGAGAACTGATTGAGACATGCTCTTGAACCTAATTTTTACTTTTATGTGTGGAAAATTCCACCGAACTCTCCAAGTTAGGGAAAATGAGCATGTAATTAATATAGCAGTTGTAACTGACCTACACGCTGCAAATTCAGTCCTAAATGAGCAGACAGCTCACGAGTCAGGCCGATACCACTTTTTAGCCTGGACCTGCTCGGGGGTATGCCCTCCAGCCATATATCCACCTTATACATTCTTACATAGATCGAGAAGCTCTAGATGCACAAGGGTGGAGTTTACAGATTAAACTCTATGATTGAAAGGTGTGTCTTTTGTTTCTTTTTCTCTCAGCATAGCACCAGGGCAGTGATTCTCAACCTGTGGCTTGTGGCCCCTTTGGGGGCTGCACATCAGATATTTACATTATGACTCCTAACAGTAGCAAAACTACAGTTATGAAGTAGCAAGGAAAATAATTTTACGGTTGGTGTCACTACAACCTAAGGAACTGCATTGAAGAGTTGCTGCATTAGGAAAGAAGTTGAGAAGTATTGTGCTGGGGCATTTGATGGCTGACTTTCAGTGGGGTACCTATTCTTTTTTTCTTTTCTTTGTTTTTGTTTTTGTTTTTGTTTTTTTCGAGACAGGATTTCTCTGTGTAGCTTTGATGCCTGTCCTAGATCTTGCTCTGTAGACCAGGCTGGCCTTGAACTCACAGAGATCCACCTGCCTCTGCCTCCCGAGTGCTGGGATTAAAGGTGTGCGCTGCCGCCGAGGCCGCCACCACCACCCAGCAGGATGCCTGTTCTTTAAAGAGCAGGAAAGAACATTATTTAGGAGGCATGAGAGGTTTTTGTTTACATCTCACTGAAGGACATAAAAGCAAATGCCTGGTAGGAGAGAAGTGTGCTGGGCCAATCCTCATCAGAAGCACGGGGTGGATGTTTCAGACAAAGCAGGTCTGAGGGTGAGGAAACCATCAGAGCTAGAAAGGCCACTGTGTAGCAACAGGGCCAGTTCTTCAGAAAGATGTGCCACGAGTAACACGCACGTACCTAGCAGCAGACAGCAAAGCGTTCGAGACAAAGACTCCAGGACTAGGAGAGAAATAGACAGGCCCACTGGAAAGCATCAGGGCTTTGGCTGACCTGAGCGGCACTACCACAGCATGATCACACTAACATTCATGGAACACACCAGCCAGCAGCAGTCAACAACACATTCCTCCCAAGCTCATGAGGAACGTTTATCACCAAAAGACACATTCTGGACCTTACACTACTTTAACAAATGTGGAAAGAAACAGAACACACAGGAGTCATGTGGTCTGGCCAGCCAATGGTTCAGCAGGTAGAGATGCTCCTATATAGCCTGAGAGCCCGAGGCTGATCCCTGGATCCCACAAGGTGGCAGGGGAGATCCAGAGCTGTCCTCTGGCCTATATACACATGTACACACACACACACACACACACACACACACACACACACACACACACACACGCATGCACGCACGCATGCGAGCATTTATACATTTAGAGACACACATGCATACACACATTCATTCATACACTTATAAACACACATACACACACTAGCTCACACAAATACTCACATATTCAGACACATACATGCTCATTCATATGCACATGCTCGTATGCTCATACACACACATACACATATGCTCACTTAATGCACATACATGCACAAACACACACACATAAAACATGTTTATACACTCACAGACATACACGCATGCTCACTCATACACACATGCTCATAGACTCACACACACACACACACACACACACACACACACACACACTTTCTCTTTCACTCTGTTCTCTCTGTGTCTCTGTGTCTGCCTGTCTTCCTGTCTCTCTGTCTCTGTCTTTGTCTCTGTCTCTGTCTCTGTCTCTGTCTCTGTCTCTCTCTCTCTCTCTCACACACACACACACACACACACACACACACACACACACACATTTTTAAAACAAAAACAAAAGAATCATCCTGTCAGTTCACAATGGGATTAAACTTGAAGCCAATAGCAGAAAGATATCTGAAAAACCTTCATTATTTGAAAAGAAAACAACACATTCTAGGTAGCACAGGAGGCAACAAAAGCTTACAAGAACATAAAAAAAAATCTTGCATTTAATAAAAATGAAGAATATAAAAACAGGTGGGGCATAGTGGAAACCATACTCGGATGGAAAATTTATAGCATTACACGCACTTAGGGCACCGCTTGGAGTCTGGAATATTCAGGAAGCTGGCTGAGCTGTTCTGCAAATGTGTGTTAAATTGCCCACTGAGCACTTAGCACCGTGCAAGGACTTCTGGGCAGGCCTCAGCCACATGTAGAAGATTTGAAGGAAGGGGCGGTCTGAGGGGCTGTGAGGAATCCGAGGAGGAGGGGGAGTTTGGGTAGAAAGGGACAGATGGAGAATATTTTCTCAGGTGAGATAGTCTTTGAGTTTTATCTTATTATAAACGTTAGCTCCCAGGCAAGTAGGATATCTTAGAGACGGAGAGGGAACACTGTCCTAGAAAGATCGTACAGTTTAGTTTTTATTGAAGCCAATGAGTCTCATAGAAGGATAATATTAAGTGGCATGGTGGCCTCTGAGGGGTCTGGAGCCTGGCTGGGTTTGGACACTGTTGATGGCCGTGAGATGGTGCTGGGAGTGTTCAGTCATGGGACAGATGTGACTAGGGTCATACCGTGAAAAGATTCCTCTGAAGGTGGGTGCAGGATGAAACACAGTCAGGAAGGAGGGAGCAGCGTAGGGCGGGACGGCAGACAGTTGGCCCTTAAACAGAGGTCTCGTTAGGGTGTTGTCAATAGATGCAGGAAGGATGAGAGCCCTGGCTGGGCTGCCAGGATGTGGCCAGACATCCAAGTCAAGTCGCTGGCATGGGCAAGCTTTCGTTGACTGCTGCAACCAACTGTCCGGGGAGCTTCTGATAAATGTGTAATTGCTGGATTTAATTTCCTAGTGTGCACCTGCGTCGTCCATAAACGCTGCCATCATCTAATTGTTACAGCCTGCACTTGCCAAAACAATATTAACAAAGTGGATGCCAAGGTAAGAGAACGCTGGTCTGCTGATTAAGCACCCCTTCCCTGTGTGCTCTCACACTCTCCCCACTTCTCCTGCCTCCCTGTTTCGCTCTCCCCCTCCCCCTCGGCCTTCCCATCATTCTTAGAACACACAACAGTGCTGGAATTTTTATTTCTGCTCCTTTGTAGTATGACCTCACTATGTATAGTAGTGACTTTGCCTCACTGTGACAGAAAGCCTACCCCATTATTTTGTCTCATGGTGTCAGATGTTTCAGACTATCAGAATGGGGAGGGCTCTACGGAGCAGAACAGTTCCTAGCAGGGTGGAGAGGACGCTGAGCCTGGAACCTAGGGTGGGGTATTACCTACAAAGTTCTACCACTAAGAATGGGAGCGTGTGTGTGTGTGTGTGTGTGTGTGTGTGTGTGTGTGTGTGTGTGTAAAGCTAGATCCTACCTCCTCGTGACTCTGTAGCCACGCCAAATAGCACCACTGGCTAGGGACCCTTGTGTTCTGAACACAAGCTTGTGAGACATGGCTAGCATTGGAAGCACAACACCTTGCAAGGACCCAGTCAGTGGTCAGCTGAGCCGAGCTGTATACGCCACTGGCACTATTATACAGGGAGCTCTGGTGGAGAGAAAGAGGCCGAGCTTGTACAAGCACCTGCAGTGCTGAGTCTGGCTCCCTTCAAGTTCCTCTGTCAGCTCAGGCCCGATCCACAGCCTCTCTGAGCATCAGCCTGAAACATCTATGCCTTGCTCATGCGTATTTGTGGCAGTTAAACGGAACTGACAAGTCCATTAACTGTAAAGAATGCTTGCTAAGCAAAGAGACCCCCGGCCTCCTTCAGCCTCACAGGGACTCCAGGGAAATGTCTCTGTGTGTAAAAGCTCCCGTTGCCTTTGCCTGGGATGGGCACATGCTCTAAATTCGGGAGGGAGAGAGCAGGGGGAGTGTTGTTGACACTCAGTGGACTTGCGAGTGCTTGGGAGAGTCCAACTTGGGGACCGGTGACGACGGTGCACATGCAGGTTAGGGAACACACAGAGGGATGTGGACTGGAGCTCGTAAAGGAAAGAGGCCCGGGAAAGTCCACAGAGGAGCAGGCATCGTCCTGCCCTTTCTCGTGGTGCACCTGTAGTTTTGGCTTCCAGCTGTGAGGCTGATCATAGAGCATATGGCGAGGAGGTACAGAGAAACGGCACACGGGGAAAAACCATTAAGTCTGCACTCCCACTGTCCAAATGCAAACGCCAGATGAAGGTTGGGAGGGTTGGGTGTGATGGCCGCTGCGGGGTCACTGTGGGGTGGCTTCATTCCGTGATCCCCATGCCTTCTGAGTGACACAGTTTCTAGAACTGAGGGAGAACTGTGATCTGAGTACAAAGGATGAGGGGAACATTTTAATTTCTGTTTCTTTCTCCAAATGGTGAACGGTCCTCACACGCACCTGTATCTCAGCCCTGTCTTGTTCTTGTCTCAGCCCTGTGCTGAGACTTGAGCAGCCAGAGCTGAGCCTAGTAGAATAATGCATCCAGAGCCCGGGTGTCATCGAGATACTCGGCCTTTGCTGTGCTCCCGTTGCAATCATTATTACAAAAGACGTTCTGAGGAGCTGAGCTGCCCTCCTCTCCCTCCAGATTGCAGAGCAGCGCTTCGGAATCAACATCCCACACAAGTTCAGCATCCACAACTACAAGGTGCCCACGTTCTGCGATCACTGCGGCTCCTTGCTCTGGGGGATAATGCGACAAGGACTTCAGTGTAAAAGTAAGATGCGGAGGTGCTGGCCTCCCACGTCCCTGTGGCAACATCCCACTATACATGCGTGGGGTTCTGACGGCTCAGAATCTGACCGAGGGCTGATGCTTTACACATCAGCATCTGAGTTGTGTTATTTACATATAACTTGTTGAGCATGGTGGTACATGTAAAGAGAATGGCATCTGATCCCTAAAATAATATTAGCAGACTAAATTAGGTGTTAAATCTAGTGGTCTACCGTGCTTGTTGTTAGCTACGCGTTGCTGAGTGTAGACTGAGCGTTATGTGTTTAAAAGGCATTTGCAAGAGGCGCTGGAGGAAGTGTGGGCAAGATGGAGGGCCAGAAGAGGTTTGGGTCCTAAGTAAGCACTGGCTCTCACCAGAAGTAGGCAGCAGTTGGGCTATCACTGTAGTAAGTGCTGTGTGGGTGGTCTGCAAGCGCCCGGTGACGTGACCGCAGGAGCAGACACGGCAAAGAGCAAAGCTTTGATGGTGGCTGGCACCTTACCAGCTGTACCCGGTGTTGTTCAGAGCTCTTGCCTTTTCAAAGGCTCTGAGTCGGGTGAAGGCCAGCCTCTGTCTTATGAGGGGTTGTTGGAGCCATTGGCCTGGAGTTCATCTCCCATTGATATGTGATTATCTGGCTATCTGGGGGTGCACCTGAAGCCTTATCAGACTCATGCTAGGGTGACAGCTTCCGTTGGCCATCTGGGACAGTCAAATTGCATCTGTCAGCAAAAGGGACCAAGTTCCAGTGAGGCATAGTGTGACACACGCCTCTAATCACGTCACCCAGGGAACCGACACAGGAACGTCATCAAGGGTTGATCTACATGGTGAGGCCTAGCAGCCTTTGGCACAGAGTAGGAAGAAGAAAACCAACACAAACAAAAACAGTGACCTTCTCTGCCCCCCGCCCCCCGCCCCCCGCCCCCAAGCATCCTTTTCATTCCCCTGGAACAGCAGCCAGCTCAGCTAGAGGCTTCAGCCCAGACGCAGCTTCATGCCGACCTGGTGGTCTCACCTGAGCGAGCCGCTTCCCATTTTCTTCTGTTTCTAGCTAGTATACAGAACCATGCACGGGGCTCACCTACACTCCTCTGTCTCCAGTTGCCTGAGAGCAGCATACTTCCAAGGACTTGGCTCCCGTGACTTCTGTTTTTATTGCCCCAGAGTTTTTCTAAAAGGTCACTGTAGTGTGTATCCCTCTGTACCAGTCAGTTTCCCATGGAGCTCCTGAAGCTTAAGCTTTGGGCCTCCCTCTGCTAATGTGGCATTCTTTTTCATAAGAAGCTTCCCCGATGACAAACTCAATCCCCGTAAAGCCTAGACGGTGGTGTGCTTCCAAAGATGGACCGACTCCATCAAAGAGGCATTTGTCCCGCGTGATGGCTTCAGTCGGGTCGTCCATCCGCAGGACCCACTTCCAGAAACCAGATAGGAATTGATTTCTGCTGATTGGACCTTAGAGCCTTCACAAGCACAAGAATATATAGCTTGCTCTGCTCACTTCTCCAAATGTCATTTGCCCTGACCTTCAAGCACTTGAAAGGTTGCTTTTTTTTCTTCCCCTACTTAACAGTTAGAACCACAGCCCCACAGGATATACCCTGTGGGCTAGGAGTGCCACCCAACCACAAGAGTACCCAGAAAGGAGCGTACAAAGCTCTCTCCTCTCAAAAAACCCACCTCTACCTTGTTTGAACAGTGACCTAGCTGCAGCTTGTCGATGGCTGCTTTTTATTTCTCTGCTAATCGGGAGGAGGGGGGTAACGCCAGTTGGCACGATTCTGCCTTGTCTGATGGCCTGCGATTGTCACTGTGATGAACATTTTAATCTTTATATTGTATCTTGCTGCCAAGGCAGCAGCGACTGTTACACGGGATTTAGATGAGTCTGTCCCATCAAGTCACAGGAAAAAGGTGGAAATCTATTATTTAAAATCTGTTGTTCTATAATAGGCTAGGGTTTCTGCTTCTGCACAAATCAGAAATAGATAAAATGCCAGGAATTGTTCTAAGTGTGAGTTTGATTTTGTGAGATGATATTGTCAGCCTGTGGTATTATTCTTCTGTCACAATCCTTAGGCTATTAATGTTCTCCACAGCACGTGGTGACTTGGCTCTTTTGTGACCCTGGATTCTGTTTTCTTTCCTCCAGTATGTAAAATGAATGTACATATTCGATGTCAGGCCAATGTGGCCCCAAACTGTGGGGTGAACGCTGTGGAGCTTGCCAAGACCCTGGCAGGGATGGGTCTCCAGCCCGGAAATATTTCTCCAACCTCGGTGAGCCCTCTGCCTTTGGCTGTCTTTTGTAAGTTATTCAGGTGTGGTGAGCCCAAGTGAGAGAACAGAGAACGTAATCTCAGCAACTACACCGAACAGGTCCACTGCACTCAACAAAAGCATTTCTCTCCCATCCAAGAGTCTATATACATTTATGGCAAGAAACAGTGAGCATGCATGTACATCAGGAAGCAAGAGAAAGGAGTCCCCCTCCCCCTTAAAATCAGCTTCCCATCCATTTGGTCTGGTAAAGATCACAGAACCTAGATGCCTAGAGTGGGCCGCTGGCTGGTGACCAAGCTGGACAGTTGGCCAGTAGCCACAAGTCTCAGCTTCCTTATCTCCGAAGGGATTGAAGGTGACGAAGCCTGGAGTTCTCCACTTCCTTTCACTGCATTGTGTGTTCGGGGTTGAGAATTCCTCTCTTTCGTTCTGCAGCTGATAGCTCCTTCCTCTGGACACTTGGGAATGGGTGGAGTGATTCAGTTGCCCTGGCCGTGTGTGGTCCTGCAACCTCCCTAAGTGGCATCCAGCTGATATTGTCCCTCCAAGCCTTGGCTGCTTCCCAGTTCTTCCTTCTGCCTTCCTGGCCAGTGTCCGCGGTGGGCTGGGACAGAGCCATGGCTGGGTGGCTGTGAGATCTGAAAGGGGTAGTTTGAGGGAAGTTCGGGAAAATCCTAGACCCACGGTGAAGCCATCCCTGAGTACTTCGGAAGGAAGTCCAGTCACTGAGCTTCTTACTCGCTGAGAAAGCAGCAGTACTAGCTGTTCATTCGCTTTTACAGAAAGGCTCCTGCCCAGATCAGGGCCCTGCACTGACAGTGTGCTTCAGGAAGGCCCTGGGAAGGTCCACCTCTGCATGTTTGGGGGTAGGCAGGTAGGATGCTAAAATGGTGAGGGGGGCGGAGTCCTAATGCATAGGATGGTGGGTCCTGAAATGGGAATGTTAAGGATTTCCGGCTGCAATATGGCAGGCTATGTGACCCAGTAGTCCCTGAATGGGTAATGCCTCCTTGTCTGCCAAACCAAGTACCTTCAGTATTATGATATTTAATAGTGGGAAACCAGATTTACCTGCCGACAGCACATCATTAAAAAGAGAGAATTATAAGTAACCAAGGAGAAAAATGGGTTTTAAAAGGAGATTAAGGAACACTGGCTCTTGGGTCTTTAGCTCTAACCAAGAATTCGGGTTGAGGAAGTAGAATTTAAGCTGGGACCACTTTTCTATTATTGAAAAGTTTACAAGAGATTTGGGAGGGGGGAACCTAGAAAAACCACTGTATTTTAAATATGATCCGTTTTATTATATTGTTATCCCTGTTTTAGGGTGTTAAATATCTAAGATCCTTGAAGGTGCAGGCTGTGGCATATTGATTTATTTTCAACATTGCTTAGAAGTCCCACCAGGGCGTAGAGTCCTAGGTATATCCTTTTAAACTAGATACGTCAAAGACTTCAAAATTCGTATCCTCAGAGTGAGGGAGCAGCTCAGTGGTAGGGTACTTTTCTAGCATGCACGAAGTCTTGAGGTCCATTCATAGCACCTCAAAGGACACAAAAAAAGAAAAACAACCCAACAAGAACAGCCTCCCGGGGGCTGGAGAGATGGTTCAGCAGTTAAGAGCAAGTACTGTTCTTGAGAAGACCAGGTCCCAACACCCATATCAGTGGTTCACAAACCTAACTTCAACTCCAGTGGATCCAAAACCCTCTTCTGGCCTCCATGACACCTCCACACATGTGCACATGACCACACACGGACACATACACATTTAAAAATAATAAAAACAAATATTTCCAGAAGCAGTCTGTGTTCTCAAAAGGCATTCAAAGATGTATAAAGTACATGCGACCACTGGAAAAATAATACTGCGTGCAATAAGACAATAATTGAGTCATATTTTTAAATTCAGGACGAAAATATGTGTCTTTGTGTATTGTTTTTTTAAAAAATGTATACGGAGAGGAGGCTAGTGAGGTTTTAGATATTTAACATTTACCCATCGTAATTCTTGTTGTTCCTATTTTGCGTTGAATTTTATTTATATAATTTAAGTTTTTGTATTAAAAACACACATTCCTGTCTGGCTGCGGTGACTCTCTGAGTAAACACGAAAACCACCCTTTGCATGGAGTGGTCACTAGATGGCTCTCCTGGAATTGAGTGCTCCATGGAGAAGCCATGGGAGAAGAAACCACAGTGACCAGCCTAGAACGCGGGCATCTTCATTTTTGCGCGAACTTGGATGCATTCTCCACACAGCAGTGCATGCATACAGACCAGATGGGGAGGTGGTTTTGAGTTTTAGAACATCGGCCCAGGATTGACTTCTCCACACGCCGGATAAAGGCTGAGACCGCTCACTGCTAGGATGGTCTCCCTCTCCAGACCAGCCTCATGCTCACAGTAATTTCTGCGTTCCTTGCAGAAACTCATTTCCAGATCGACGTTAAGACGGCAGGGAAAGGAGGGCTCCAAAGAAGGAAATGGGATCGGTGTCAACTCTTCCAGCAGATTTGGCATCGACAACTTTGAGTTCATCCGGGTGTTGGGGAAGGGGAGCTTCGGGAAGGTGAGTCTGGGCTTTGATGGGCTGGATTGAATTAACAAGCATGCTGTGTGCATGTGCTGTGTGTGTACGCGTATGGATGTGGGTGCACACCGGTCCTTCTCATGTGTACCCCACACCCTCAACCCTCGAGTGGCCCTCACGCTCGCTCCTGCTTCGCTCTAGGTGATGCTCGCCAGGATAAAGGAGACAGGGGACCTGTACGCTGTGAAGGTGCTGAAGAAGGATGTGATCCTGCAGGATGACGATGTGGAATGCACCATGACTGAGAAGAGGATCCTGTCCTTGGCCCGCAACCACCCCTTCCTCACCCAGCTGTTCTGCTGCTTTCAGACTCCTGTGAGTATGACTGGTGCTCCCTTCCTGCCTCACAGTCTCCTGTCTTCAAGAGCTTGAGACAAGAGTGAGAGGTTGACCATGTGAGGAAGTTGTGTGGAATGGGCTCTCAAAACATTGGCCACGTCTGATGACCTGGGCAGACCCCTTCCTTCAGACTGCCCCATAGAAGGGTCACCTCAAGGGTTGTGTGCCCTGATGTTGAAAAAGCCTTCACACATGGATTTTCCTACAGCAGAGAAGTTATGGAAGTCTAAGAGGAAAGTAAATGTCATGGATTTTCTTGGTGAATTTGACTATGGTTCTTCCAAATTTTGGATAGGCATGACCCTGAGTGAAAGGGTTGAGAAGGACTCAGAAAGGGCACCTGTCTTGATTCATCCCAAGACCTTGCTCCAGGCCTTAAAGACCCTTTGTCTGGTACCTTGGACTAGTCGTGGGATTGGACTCTGCCTGTGATGTTAAGAGTAGCAACCCAGAATGCTCTTTGCTGTAATCAGTAGAATGCCCAGCTAATGGTAGTTTAAACAAACAAACCAGGGTGGTCTTGGTTCATTTGAACAATGGTTCTTACTAATTCACCCAATGTAAAGTCAGGTGGTGACTCCTGGGGTTGGATTTATGGCCCAGCGCCATTGGACATGTCTCTAATGTCTTCTACTCGGTGGCTCCGACTATTTGTTGCACCTTTACATGTCCCACTTGGACAGGACAGCATCCAAAACAGAAGCCAGTGGGTGGCATGGACCACTCTCCTTACTTAGTCTCGGGCCATCTTTTTTAGCAGCAGGAGCTAGGAAAGGAGATACCTCACCAAGAAATCATGACTGTCAACGAATCATGACTGTCTTACAGTAATGGGACCATTCTCAAGGCCAGGTCCCTCTGCTGCCTTTTTAGAGTTGGGTCCATACCTGGGTTTCTCTTATCAGCAAAGAGGGAAGGTGACCTCTGTGAAGGCACCCGGGTTCTAACAGATGAGTCAGAATTTTCCTGCTGCCTGGGAGACTGAACCCTGGGCATGTCCCTCGGCTGTGCGGCCATCAGGGAACCTGAGGTGCTGTGGGAACACACGGGCCATCTCACTTGGCTGGAGATGGCAATTAACAGCTAAGCTGAGGCCAGAAATGAGGCTTTGAATTTGTTGGCAAGGAGGGCGCTCCCCACAGTGAGTAAACAGCTCCCACAGACCTAGGGCTGAGGCGGAGCATCAGGTGTGAACAAAGCTCAGTACAGCTGAGGAGGGCCTGAGTGGAGGAGGAACCGCACAGGAAAGCAGGACCAGGCTGTGGGATGCAGCAGAAAGACATGGAAGAAACTGAAGTGGAGATATGACAGGCCAGGCTATGATCTCCTTACACTAGGCGGCACACGCGTCCACCAGCATCCTCCAAGCGTCACAGTCACAAGAAGCCTTTCAAGGAAATTTTTGGCACATAAAAGCATGTGCACATTATATGCACATCACCCTTTAAAAAACACAAGCGGGGCTGGAGAGGCTGCTTGCTCAGCAGTTAAGAGTACTGGTTGCTCTCCCAGAGGACCCAGGTTCAATTCCCAGCATCTACAGGGTACCTAACAACTGTCTGTAACTCCAGTGCCAGGGATACTGATGCCCTCTTCTGGCCTCTGCAGGTACCAGGCATGCATGTAATACACAGACATAAATGCAAGCAAAACACCCATACACATAAAATAATTTTAAAAATAAAAATATAAACAGAGCTAAAAAAATATAAACAGTACTATACTTTGACTATGATTGCACACATTTTTAAACACAGTAACAGTAATCTTGGAAATTGTTTCATGTTTGCATACATCTAGCTGCTTCATTTTTTTTAGTAGCTGTGTTAAGAATATACTATGCAAGTCATGGTGGAGTATGCCATTAATTCCAGCACTCAGGATGCTGGGGCAGGCGGATCTTCGTGGTTTCAAGGACAACCAGGCCACACAACACTATATATTTAGACCTTAGCATATATATACACATATATATATACATATATGTGTGTGTACTTATTGCATATAATATATAATTTATTTATTTATGCTTAATTACTTACCTGGTCTTTTATTTCAACCCATCTTGAAACAAGTCCCCTTGTACTTTTATCTTTTCATGTTTATAGAGCAGTTCTTCGTGGCATATTATTTAAAATTTGGATAGAGTCCACTAATGCCCTCCTCCATCATAGTTAAAGGTGGCTAACATTTTAGGGTCGGCCTTCGAAGCATTGCTCTGATAGCTTGGTGTCTGCCATCTTATTTAATCTGTGCAGTGACCCCATGTGGTAATAAAATTTTAGAGGGCACAGGGATTCCTCACTTAGCCACTGAAGTCTTTATTAGCATTGGTGGCCCTTTCCTAGTGAAGGTCTGATGTTTGGCCACAAGGTGGCAGTGGGGACTGCAAAGTGGTCTTGATTTCTCTACCAGAACAGTGACACTCGGGAGCTTTTTAAAAGGGTGTGGATCACAGTGCTGTCTCCAAAACAAAGGCCAAGGGGAATGCTCCTGACCTCCAGGTTAGAGGATGGAAGGAGTAATGGGGACCAAGAACCAAATGAGTTCTACACATGGCTCTCTGGGGATTCTGGGGAGTTAGGTGCTGAACTTCCACCTGCAGGGTATCCTCAGGGTCTACCCCTAGTCACTGTAACACCAGGTATAAAGGACTGATAATGCTAGTCACCACAAGGAATGGCAAAGTTAGATGACTCCAGCTACTTGATTCTGCAAGCCAGGACCTCTCAACTGAGAAGTCAGGGGCTGACTGTGGCCTCGCCTCTCAAGAGCTCAGCAGGGAGCCCAGGTAGGGCATGGGAGTTCCCCACCTTCAAGCTGTCTGCCAAATGCCATTTCACTGGGAGGGTCTTTGTTCAAGAATGTGACGTCCCTTGTGGCCCTATAGAATCCCTTTCGCTGAAGCCCAGATGAGGAGGAGCTCACTAAGAGCCTCTTGGGCTGATAGTGGTGGAGACATGGTTCAAGTGTAGGTCAGGCTGACTCTGACCCATGCATGGGTCATGTGTAGTCTCGCGCCGCACAGGAGTGTCGGCCCACCAGCTGCTGAAGCGTTCGCCTGCCGCAGAGCTGTCAGGACTAATGATCGGAGTTCTTCTCGGTGTTCCTGTGTCTAAATGGTCTGAGTGTGTTGTCAAAGCCTCCAATCCTGGTCACAGGAGGAGAGTGAGGCTCTCTGTGAGGATCCCATGAGAGGATAAAGAGACTTCTCAGGGTTCAAAGGTGAGGCTGACTGGCAGGTTGCCAATGCCCTAGTGGATAAAAGCACGAAACTTCTTCTTAAATGCTGAGGCTACTCTGTGATGAACACCCACTTCCCCACACCAGAGGCAACCATCCCAGAGCTCCCCACATAGAAACCATGAAGCGGGAACTCCTTCTGTTCTTGCCAAAAAAAGAAAACAATAAGCAAATTTCAAATACTAGCTACTTTACCAAGTTTTCTGTATAGGTTTAGGAATCCATAAGCTTCTCTGCCCAAACCTCTCCATAAATATTATTATTTATAAGGGTAGAAATAAGTTAGGATTCTCAAACCTTCTGATGGCACCATGCTTTCGAACACTTGGAGAATAATAACCGTTATCGAGACTTGTAAAAGCTGTGGGATCTACTGGTTTTATTTTTCGTTGTCTCAACTAACAGAAACAGTGTGAGGATGAGATGGATGTACATAAGGATGGTTAATTGGGGGCGGCAAGATGTGGTGGGTAAAGGCACTTGTCGCTGAGCCTGATGACTGAAATCGATCCCTGGGACCTACATAGTAAAAGGAGAGAACTGATTCTGTAAAATTGTCCTCTGATCTCCACACATCTGCTGTGGCATACACACACACACACACACACACACACACACACACACACACACACACACACACACACACTAAATGCTTTTTAAAGATACTTAATTTTTAAAGATGGTTAATGTCTATTATTAGTCCATTGCTAATATTTTTTGGTTGACAGCTCCTCGGTCATCCCACCCTCAGCCCTGGTACCCATCATTGCTCACTCTGCTCATGGGAGTATTTTAGACTTGATTTTTCTGTGTCTGGTTTATTTCTCTTAATCTTCTCCAGCTCCGTCTGTGTTGCCACAAATGACAGGGTCTCCTCCTGTGTTAAGGTTGAGTGACATTTCATTGTACGTCTACCCCACATTTTCTGTGTCCGTTCATCCATAGCTTTGTCCATTCATCCATACCGTCAATAATGCTGCAGTGAGCGGAGCATGCAGTTCTTTCTTCAATATGCTGACTTCATTTTCCTTGGCTATACACCGAGCTAATAGAATGGTTGGATCATATGCATGTTCCATTTCAATTTTCGAGGTGTCATCATATAGTTTTGGACAGTGGTTGACTGACCCGCAATCCCGCCATCAGTGTGCACGGTCCATTTTCCTCCTCACATCCAGTGCCTTCATCCTGTTAATAGGAGTTCTGGTGGGGGAGAGGTGGTATCCCAGCGTGGCTTCAATTTGCATTTCTCTGATGGGTAGTGGTGGCAAGCATTTTTAGTTCATGCATTTTTTGACCATTTATAGTTCTTCTTTGGAGAAATATCTATTTAGGTTCTTTTCTCTGTTTTAGATGTTCGGAGTTGTTTATTTTCTTACCATTTGAGTTAAGTTGAAACAACCTGAGCTTTCAGCAAAGGGAGTACACTTAAATAATGTACTAGTGGAAGAGGATTTTCTTCCAGGTATGATGGCACATACCTGTAGTCCCAGACAGGGCATGTGAGGTAGCATCATTTGAGTTCATGAGTTCCAGACCCTGCTGGTCAGTTTAAAAAAAAAAAAAAAGTACTTTGTATCAGATATTGTCATAAGCGTCTGACATGTATGATTGATGGCATCTCGTTGTCATTACGTAGGATAGATACAGTTACTATCTTTGCTCTGTTGGTTGTTCAGGGAAACATGAAAATATCAAAACACTCCCTCCAAACCCAACACTTTTAGGAAACT